CAGTCTCTAATCTTGCTGTCCCTAGAGGCTCCAGTCAGCGCTCTGAAGGTAACTTTTTAAAACAGCATTTGTATTATTTTTCTAACCCCCCACCAAATGAACTAGGTTAATTACAGATTTTTTTCTAGTGCTATGGATTGAACCCAGGGCCGTAAGCATGCTAGGCAAGCACTCCATCACTGAGCTATGCTCCTGGCCAAACTAGGCCAATTAGAGCCAAAATCAACAGTACAAATTTCAGAGTATAAATGTGACATCCTCTAGTACACTACACTTAGTTTGTGTGGTACTTTCTTTTATACATTAAAAGCTCTTGCCTCTTGCCATCAAGGCAAATGCACATTGGTGTAGACACGCACACATAAATACTGCCTGTGCTTCTGTTTTGGAGCCCAAGATTACAATAATACCTGATAATGTCTTCCACATGGTTTAGAGCTTCCCCTATTAAAACAGTGACCTATGAGTTGCCTGTTGTAAAAACTCACTCCTAACACACTCACACAGAGATTTTGCCGCTAATATTTTCTCTGTTATATAAACTAGCTTTAAAATGAGCCATGCTATTTTCCTATTAACATTTTGAAACTTCCAGTCAGAAATATTTAAAGAAGCCATCAGGAAAATTCTCTGCAAAAGGCCTATGCCACTTGGCTGTTCATGAAAAATTTTTTCTTCTTCTTGGGAGGGGTTGAAGCCCTAGTTAGAACCATTCTAAGCTAGATTCATGTGCCCCTCTTAAAGCTATTGTATATGTGTGTGTATATGGAAAATATTAGTCTAAGACTCCAATTAAAATGGTAAGTTCCTATTGATTGAGGAAGGCTATATTGTGTAACTTCCTATGAAATGTGGCAATATTACCATTTTGAAGAGGATATGGATTATGAAGGATCATCTTGCTAAAATTGGAATATTTGAAATTGACATGTGATGTATAATTTCGTTAAATATCTTAAGTTTTTCCCAAACGCATGTGGTTATTTCACAACAAACTTTTTAACAGCACCTGAGTCTACAGCTAACATGGGCCATTATTTTTACTCACTTTCTTTCCTTTTCTAGATGTAATTTCTTACCTTGCTTAGGCACAGTTACATACCTTTTAAGTTTTCTGGGTCTCTTTGTACTTTTCCACTGATTAAATGAATCCATAAAATGATGAAATTATTGAAATGGAACTGAAATTGAAAATATGAGTAAAGCATGGCCTTGCTATAACTTTTAGAATTGCTGTTACATTTCATTTTGGAGGGCTTAAGTCAGGCATAAACATCTGTTGAGGTCCTATAGGATAACCAGAGTTATGTGAGAGCTAGAAATACACATGTGTACCATATTTAAGGCTGATTGTGTTTTGAAGTTTGAAGAATGGCTTCTAATTGTTAGATAGCAATATATATAAACTGTTTTTTTACATGAATTCTTACTTTGATTTAAAAGACTAGATCAGGCCTGTAATCCTTGAACCTGTCCCTGTAGACAGTAATAAGAGATTTCTTAGGCCTGATTTTTTTCCCTCACTTCTTGATGTTTATATTTGTCCAAAAGGATGTTAAAGGGTAAAATAGGGGAAAAACTTTAGAAACATAGGGAAAAGTGAACTGGCATGGTTATATTCTGGATTGAGCCTTTACTTGTGTACCAATCACTGTTTGATGTCTGGAAGAGTGGAGGTGTAGGGAGAGAAAAGGGCACAGGGTAGGCCCAGGTCTTTAAGGAACATCCAAAGTTTCAGGACAGAGTTTCCTAGGAAGCCCAGGTTTACTTCCTGTATCCTTTATTGTTCAGTGCACAGAGATGGCAAGCATTGGAGTAGATTTCACCTCAGTGACATCTTCTCTGTCCCCTAGATTCTCATTTATAATTTGAAGGGAATATAAGATAGAGAAGAGACAGTAAATGAATTTCATTTGATTACCAGTCAGTTAGACAGTACTGATCATGGCTTTCTTCAGCATCTTTCTCACTTGACCTCTAAATGTTAAAGTGCTTTAGAAATTTTGTTAGTCTTCACTCTGTGATTCCAATAAATTGGGTACTGGAAAACTATCCAGTGTGTCTCTACTGATTTTCAAGTCCAGCCTCCCATGTCTGACTGCTGGCTTATGGATCTTCTTGGATGCCTCGCAGGCATCTCAAACTCAGTAGGTACAAAATGCAGCTTGATTTTCCACCCTTGCAAAAACACCCTTCCTTTTCACTCATTGGCACTGCAGTCCACCTCATTGTCCATCTCACTGCATAAGCCAAAGCTTCAGAACCATCTTATTTTTCTGTAGCTCTTTCATATCAGTTCATCAGCCCAACTTCTCTGTGCCTTAGTTTACTTATTATAAAATTAAAATAATATATTTCTAGTAATATATTGGGGAATTAAAAGAATTAGTAAATAAATACAGTCTTGGAGGGATTGGAACAGGGTCTTGCTACATAATTCAGGCTGGTCTTGAACTCCCAGTGTAGCCCAGGCTGTCCTCGAACTCACAGCAATCCTCCTGCCTCAGCCTCTCAAGTGCTGGGGTTACAGCTGTGCACCCCCATACCTGGCTAATAAATACAATCTTCCAACAGTGCCCGACATTCATTATAGCCATTGCTCTTATTGCTATTGTTTCTTTTTGTCCCCCATGAAGGAAACACCTTGGCTCAAGTCACCATCTCTCCCATGGTCCATGGTAATAACTTTCTGTTTTCTGTGCTTTTACTCTTCTGCTACAATCCGTCCTCCATAGAGCCCATGATATTTTTCTCACTTGTCACACTGCCCTGCTTAATGTCCTTTGGTGGACTCCCGCTGCTCTTAGAACAAACCGCATTCACGGGCTGTTCAACTTGGCATCTACCTATATGCCAATCTTGTCTCCTTTCTGTTGCTCAGATTGATCAAGCCTCTTCTTTCCTTTAGGCTTCGTTCTGTTCCTTTAGTATGAAATGCTCTTCTACCAGCTCCGAACTTGTCTGGCTCATTTGCATTTAGAGAGTTGTTCTAGTTACTTTTCTTGTCGCTGAGACAAAATACCTGACCCCCGAAGGTGAAGGAGGAAAAGTTTATTTCAGTTCAGCTTGTAGAAGTTCCAGTTCATAGTTGGCTGGCTGCAAGGCAGGATGGCATGGCAGAGGGCATTGCAGAAGAGAAACAGTCCATGGTGTGGCCAGGCAGGCAGAAGGCAGCAAAGCAGCAAAGCAGTGTATAGCAGGCAGCAGCAAAGCAGCAGCAGCAGCCTTTCTGTCCCACTGTATTTCACCCAGGCTGTAAGCCTATTGACTGATGCCACCCACACCCAGGGTAGGGTACCCTTCACCCCATTATCACACACTTAATCCCAGAACCGTATACCCTAGATCCAGCCATCTCCAAATAGCCCCCCCCACTATGATGACATGAGGCTTGGGGGGACATCCAGATACAAGCCATACAGGAAACCCGCTCAGTTCTTAATAACCCACCCAACCCATTCTTTGTAAAGTCACTTTCCATTATTACCTTCTCTCTCCTATTGTCCAATTTATTTTTTTCATAGCTCTTATAGTATATGATTATTTATGTATTTGTTTACTTATTATCAGTCTCACCATCTAGAATGTTACCTTTAGGGGCAGAAACCTTTCATGTCTTTCTAAAGTGCACATCACGTAGTGAGTGTTCAAAAACTATGTATCAAATGAAGTCACCTCTAACAAGGAAAGAGAACTACAGAAGGAGAATCTGATGATCCATTGTTGTTTTTATTTTCTAATTCTGCCATGGAGATTATTACCAGTTAGCACTCCTTGAGAATTCTGCCTGCATGGTTTTTCCAAACATATATTCCTCTCAAAATAGATTAAGAGATAGTTGTCCAGCAGTGTCCTAAAGGTAAAAGTAGGTGGTCATTAGATATGGCCATGAAATTTTAAATTCCATTATCTGTCATATGCTTTTAGTTCTGTCATACAATAAAAGAAGCGAAGGATAAATCATAGGGGTCTTATGGCTTAATATGGTAGGGATTCCCTGTCTGTCACCCACTTGGTGGAGTGAGCATGCCTTATGCCAGCTGCATAAATTGTTCCAAGCCCTGCTGTTGGTGTATTTTGATATTCCCTTCTCACATTCGTAAAGTGTATAGTGAAGAAGTAAAGTGTAATGTAAAGAAATTCTCTTGGTCACTTTCAAGCAAATAAGCAGAATATCTGTGCTGACAAAAAATTTTAATACTTGTAAATTTTCTTCTATAAATTGAAGAAAAAAAATCTCTTTGAATGCCCAAAGTAAAGACAATTTCTGAGGTGACAAAGTGAAAGGAGCCCATTCGTACCTGTCCCCTGTGGCTAGGACGCGTGTCTGGTCAGGCCTCTGAGACTGGGCTGTGTGTCCTACGTAATGGCAAGCCAGTGGTGCAGCTAGGGTGCTCTTTACACTGCCTTCAGCAGGAGGGGGAAGGTGGCGGATAATGAAACAATTCAGGTTGTACTTTATAGCTTTTTTTTTTTGGAGGCAGGGTCTCCCTATGCAGATTAGGCTGTCCTTGAGCTTACTTTGTAGCCCAGGCCAGTCTCAGTGATCCTCCTGCATCAGCCTCCCGAGTGCTGGGATTACAGGCATGAGCCACCACACCTGGCTAATTCAGGTCATACTGAATTTGATCAGGAGTAAAAGGATAGAGAAGCTTTAATCTCTGTGCCTTAGGAGTCCTGAAATTTCTACTTTAAGAATTAAAATTATTCTGCACCTAATGTTAGAGTGAGTGGCAGGCCTTGAGAGTTTGTAACTTAGAGCTGGGTAGCTTAATGGTGGTGCTGCGTAGCATGTGTGAGGCCCTGAGTTAGATCCCTAGCACTGGCATTTAAAAATCTCTAACTCAAAGTAATAAATAACTGTATGCTAGTACTTACATTTTACATAGCTAAGAAAAAATATATGCATTAATCTTAAGAAATCCAGACTATTCTTATATATCTCTGTGAGTTGAGTTGTAGTTAAAATAATGAAGACCAGTTGCAATTTTTTTTTCCAGCTATCATGGATCCTGATGATGCTGTACAAAATCCTGAAGAAAAGGAATATTCTTCTGTCTGTGTTGGCAGAGAGGCAGACATTAAAAAGTCTGAAAGAATGACAGCTGTTGTCCATGATAGAGAAGTGGTCATTTTCTACCACAGAGGAGAGTATCATGCTATGGATATTCGCTGCTACCGTAAGTTTTTATTTTTCATCTGTAGAACTTGTATTAGTCGTGAAACTATCAAAATTCAGTTTTTTTAGTGACCAGATATAATATTTAATTCCTTTTCAGATTCAGGAGGACCTTTACATTTGGGAGAAATAGAGGTATGTAAAATTAAATTTAATCTAAACAAATTCAGATGTTTCCTATTTACATTATTTTGTGTCATTCTTTCTTCAGTTTATATTTGGATTTAATTATATTTTAGTGCTTTGAATATAATTGCCAACATTCTAAGTATTCAGAGTCATACAAAGAACCATTTCATACATAAATGTGAGAACTATACTTGTCTTTTTACCTGGCAGTTATATTATCAGATATTGAGCTTATGCATACAATTGTACAAATGTATTTCTATGTTTAGGAAAGGTTTATTGTAGCATTATTTATTATAATGAAAACTTGAGAGTAAGCTAAATGTTTTAATAATACCTGGGTTAAATAAATTATAACACAGCCATGCTATGGAATGCTATGTAGCTATGAAATGAACAAGACACACCTATATTTGCTTGTCTGGAGGGATATTAACAATATATTGGTGAGTGGTAAATGTAAGTCATACAATAGTAACTCTAGTTCTTATTTTTTAATTAAAAATATTTAACTTTTACTTTATATACTCTGTATGTATTGAATGTTTATAAGTATTTATTTATATAATGAAAATATTCTTTTTTAAATTTTAAAGAAAGAAATCACTAAGTTGCTGAGTGGCCCAGGCTGGACTGAAACTTTCAGTCCTCCTGCTTCAGCCTCCCAGAGTACTGGGATTACAGGAATTCACTACCTTGCCCAGCTTTGAAGCTTAACTGAGGAAGAAAGGGACAATTGCCTTTACTTCCTTATGTTCCAAAACTAGTTGCCTAATACTGTCTTTCTGTCTTGCTCTGTCTCTAAAGAGTACAGAGTATAAGCTTGAACTTAGTATTTCACTCTCTCTACACTTGATACCTACCTGGTAACATACCTATCCTCATGTTAAAGGATGCGTGTGTCTTTGAGTTGTGAACATTGAGTGTTTGCTCACAGTTCTATGGCATGCAAATCAGTATTCCTGCATTCTGGTGTAGAGGAAAAGTGTAGTCACCTGCTGTCCACAGTGGCATACGGATTCCCCCAGTTTCAGTCCGCAAGAGTTTTAAGACTCTGCCACTCACAGTGTGGCCGGCAGCCTCACCGCTGTCGTCAGCCTTGCTTCCTAGACATGTACACTCCCGAGCCCCCCTTGCTGTGAGCTTGCTAAATTTAAACAGATGAAGGGGCACCTAAACAGAAGCTGCTGTATCCCATGCTCCTTAAAGCTTGAGAAGAATTTCAGAGAGAGAGCTAAAAGGAATCACAAATTGCTCTTCATTAACATCTGCTTTAGGCCATTAGTAACGCCTCCATCTGCAGCCCGCAGCTCTTGCAGCGTTAGAAGCACTAGAAACCCTTGCACCCTTTCTGTCAAGGAAGAGACACTGAGATAGAGAAGAGCTCCGCCACAGTGACATGGTATTGGCCTGAGCGAGTCCTCTTCTGATAGAGCTCTGACCCACGGGGCTTCTAATCAACTGCAGAAAGTACTTGCCGACTCTCCTTGTTAGGTTGTGCTTTATTCTGAATAATTAATAAATGGGAAGGAAAAAGAAAAGCTAGCCTATTCTTTAACCTGGGTCTTTTGCAATAGATTCTGTACTAACTCGAAGGCTTATCATGAAATGTCAAGTCTATTAAGTCAGTTATTTTTTGTCCCCAGGATTTTGATGGACGACCATGTATAGTCTGCCCTTGGCATAAATTCAAAATTACTTTGGCAACAGGAGAAGGATTATACCAGTCTATAAACCCGAAAGATCCATCAGCAAAACCCAAGTGGTGCTCCAAAGGAATAAAGCAAAGGATTCATACCGTGACAGTGGAGAATGGGAATATTTATGTGACTCTTTCTAAGGAGCCTTTTAAGTGTGACTCTGATTTTTATGCTACTGGAAAATACAAAGTGATTCGGAGTTCTCCTTGACAAAAAGTATGTGTAGGGCAGTGAAAAATGCTGTGCTTGTTTTAAGATATTTTTGAATAACTTTGTTTCAGTATCAAAGATGAATTTTTTTCAATACAGGTACAAGTATTACTTTTAAAAATTGTATAGATCAGTGAAGTTTAAAAGCACATGTACTGAGAGTGTGTATCATGCTAAGGATTACCCTGAGGACAACAGAATACATTTCACCCATATTTCATCCAATCCCCTGGATTGATCCGAACCTGAAGGTTACAGGTTTGGGATGTTCAATTTAAGAAGGATTCAAATAATTTAGAGTAATCAACATGAGTAACAGGTAAAAGGTATGATTTAGTAGGAGAAATTTGTATTAGAAAAAAGTCCCTTTTTAATGTTGCAGACTATTCTAGG